TTGCCAGACTCCAAGAAAACTAGCTCACCTTTGAAGATGCTCACAAAAAGGAATCGGGCACGATGTATGGATACTAGGGGTGAGAGGCAAACACGGTCCCGAGAGAAAAGCGTGAGGCAGGGGTAGGAAGCGCTGGGAGCACTACGGGAAAAACACTTGTATTGTATGTGTCCCACTTGGGACTTGTGGTTTGCATGAATGGGGAGTTGAGCTTCCTGCCATTTCGGAAGGAAAGGGTGGGTCTGCACCGACTGGTGTGGGTTGCGAAACGTCGTTTTCTTCGGGTAGGCCGCCGGGCTTTCGTAGGCAAGGTCACGCCACCGAACCGTTGGGCGGGTGTTGGCATGACAGTTGATTAGTAGCATTCTCGCTAGGGTAGGTCCGAGCTTGGCTCGGCGCCTTGCCCGGGCGGGATGCGAAACGTCTCCTCAGGTGGGGCCTGACCTGTTGACGGGCGGGGGGGGGGCCATTGCATATGGGGCCCGAAGGGAGCTCTAGAGGCGATTAGTAGCCTCTCGCGATACGGAGGTAAAGGCTGATTCTTATCGGACCGATGAATGTGAATGCCCGGACGACTGACTTTTGTCCCTACCGGGGTACGCGGGGTAATTCCCGGTGCCAACAGGGGTGTGCGAGAGCGGCAATACGGGATGGGGTATTCTGGGCAAGAAGGTGAGGGCGACCCCCCACTGGAGTCTGGGTACCGCGCTCGCGGCGGTTGAGCTGCGCTTGAGGTACGGGATAAAACTTTGCCGAAAGTAGCAATGGAGAGACCACTATGGGATAGGGTCGGTGAGGAGATGACCGGCCTGTGTGCGAGGATTGCCTGATTTTGCCTTCTTTGTCTTCCTCCGTAAAGGTGCTTGAGACTGTTGAGAAGGGACCAAGCTTTTGAGTCTATTCCCGCCTCCTATCTAAGTCCACACGGGTGAGAGAAGATGGAAAAAGAGCGAGGATAGGAGTCGGAAGGAAAGGAACCAAGAGAAGGAATGCTGGCAGATGGTGACCGATTTTGGGTACGACGGGGCAACGGTACTTGGGAAGTGGGCAAAGGGAAAGTTTAGGGAGACCTTGATGAGGGGTCTAAAACAATTCTCATCTAGGACTACGGTTGACCTAACCGAGGGCCGATTGGTGCTCTCTTTGAAAACAAACAGGACTCGGCAACTAGGCAACTAGGGAAGGACAAGATGGCGCGGTGGTTGTCCTCGCCAACCTACTCCGGCGGACCAGAGATGTCGGTAGACGTAAAGGGTGGGCTTAGAGTTTCGGGGGACCGTGGAGGCCCGGGGATGGATCTACCTGTCTAAGGAGAGGGAAAACGCTATGATCATGGAGCTAGCCTTAGGGCCGCTCCCGTACAAATTGTTCAAGGAAGCCGAGCGAGAAGTGGTGTGGGCTGCGTGCCGGCGGGTGGAAATGGTGATGGAAGAGATTGACGTGCGGGTGGAACTCGGGGATAGAAGGAATGTCATGAGGTGTGTCATGCCGCCCTTCATGGTAGACGCCGTCTTCGGGACCCGGAGTAGGCTAGTGCGGGTATGCAGATCCATGGCAAGCCTGAGACTGTACCGAGGGGCCCGGCAGGACTTCTTTCGTCTGTCTGTCGAGAAGGGGTCGTTCGAAGGGAGTTGGGCGAGGGAACTAGCCACGATACTAAACCAACTTAGTGCGGATGGCCTGTCGTTCCGAGCGACGCGCATTGGAGGATAGTATATAGGAATGTTGCGATAGGGGAGACGTTTCTGGAAGGGGTACAGGACCTGTGGTATGAGGAGAACGAGGACGACTCGGATGAGGAAGAGGGGATAGAGATTGAGGATTGGGATTTCTAAAAGAAAGGGGCTCAGGGCTGAATGGCATGGGTGGATTGGGGCTGTGTAGGGGATCAAGGATGGCAAGGGAGCAAAGCATGATGGAACGGATGTTTAGAGGATGGACACCTAGGCGGTTCGGGGAAGGGGTGGAGATGGTCCTACCCACGAGGAACGAATGGAGAGGGACGACCTGTGACTGGGTAGGGGTAGAATTCGTAACCACCATGTCCTTTCTATGGGTAGAGAGAGAATGGAACCCGGTCAGGGAAAGTGAGGCGTGGGATGTGATAGCTGAGGGGGATGTGGAGTCACTCGGGACCGTGTACCTGTCAAAAGAGGGATGTCACCTGTTTTGTGTTTGCCTAGCTGCCGGGTGGGACCCGACATGGATCCTAGGAGAGGCCGAGCGATTAACCTGGGAAATGGGCCGCGGATTCGCGAACGAAGGATGGGATGAGGTAAGGAGCAGGGTCGTGCTGGGAGGATGGGAGGAGCTTAGGTTACCGTATCAGTTGGTTAAGACTTGGGTCCCACACTTCGTGGCAAATTGGTTCGGAGGGTACGAACACATCCGGGCGGTCGCGGAATCGTTGAACGAGGTGGATCTGGGGTTCACCTAGTTAGCGGACGCCTACTATAGGACCTCGCTACGACTAGGGCCCTTCCACGGGGACCACGCCGATGAAGTGGTCGAGATCCTAAAGGCCCTTAAGGACGATCGGTTTACGATGGAGGGCGAGGTCGAGGAGGCGATACTCTGTCGGGAGGTGGCAGCGACCCTCTCGTATGTAGGGGATGTGTTTCTGCTATTTGAACGGGCCTGGATGTAATAGTAAGCCTAGGGACGCCATGGAATGGGGGGGCTTGCACGCATGGGAAGGAAGGATAGCATAGGCACAATTAAGGAGCACGGGATGGGGTTTTAGGACTAAAAGGAGAAGCGTGAAATTGTGTTGGATGCATCCGTTAGGGACCAGGAGCGGGAAGTGACGCGACATGGCCAGGCGAAGGACGCTCTGGGAGGATCGGCCCCGTGGAATTCTACCGCCTAAGATCTCGGAAGGAAGGATGGAAGTTACCATGCCAACCAGGGGTGGGGTGCACAACCTGGTGATGGATTGGGCAGGGGCAGAGCTAGTAGAGGATACGGTGTACCTGGTGGTGGAACTAGAATGGCGTGCAAGGGGGGAATTTGGGGGAGTGAGACTAGATCTACCAGGACGTGTGCACGCCACGGGGTCCCTGCATCTCTTCAAAGAGGGGTGGCGGACCTTCGGGGTGGCCTTGGTCGCCGCCGGTGACCCCGTGCGGATGTTTGACTGGGCGTGACAAGTAACCTGGAGGGAAGGGTTTGCGTTCGCGGATCCAGAACGGGACGATGTGACAGCAACCGTTCGAGTGCTCGAAGTGGGGGCTTGCATTCTACCCCACGAGAAAGTACGCATGAGTTTGCCGCCCTTCCTGCTCGCCCGCTTGGGAGGAGCGGAACGCGTTGAACAGGCGGTAGTGGCTCTGACTAGGTTAAGCTTTAACAACATGACGGTGTACCAAGAATACTACCGAGCCTTCTGAGAGTTGGGTCCTTTTGAAGGAGGTCAGGAATATGAGGTGTTGAGAATCCTGCATGTTGTCGTAGCAACCAGGCCAGGAGTGCCCACGATAGCTGAGGAAGTTTTGTGGGAAATGGTTAGGCGCGAGATAGGTTGCGTCTTGACCTATGTAGACAATGCCTACCGACTATTCGAGGAGGTTGACGAATAGGGGCGCAGGGAAGGAGGAAGGGAAAATCGGGGGAGATTGGTAGGAAACTAGAACGTAGCCGTGATAACAGGGGGGAGGATATGGGAAAAATAAAAAGAGAGATTTTTTTTTTTTTTTTTATGTGGGAAACTTGCAGGGCAATGGCAAGGAGGCGCGTCCGTACGACGCAGCGACCCGCGCACCCGCGGCCGTCCTTGGAAATCGGCAACGGATGGGAAGTGTCGCTCCCGGCGAGCTACGAGGTCTGGGGAATAGAGGTGGAATGGCGAGTTGTGATCTTGGGGCAAAACCAGGCCTTCATGTTGGTGGAATGCCTGTGGAGTGGGATGGGATTTAATAGGGGGCCAGGGGACGATCTGTATACCGACCTCAGGGTGACCGGGACTCTGTACCTCCCTGAGACCGGGTGGCAGATGTTGGGAACGGAATTGGCCCTGGGGTATGGGTTGTTACCGATTTTTCGGAGAGCGGCCAGGGCACTAAACCGGATAGGGCACGAAGTTAGGGGGAGAAGAAACGTGGGCTTAAGGACGCGGGTAGAAGTAGGGGGATGGCGAGAGTTCAGGGCCCCGACATCCGGTCTGCGTTGTCGGGTTCCCCAGTTCATGATAGACTTGATATTCGAAAGTCTATCTCGGGCAGGGGAGTTGGTGAATTCAACTGTAGTTTGGAACCACCACTTCCAGCCGCAAACCACAGGGATATTTTACGACATGGCAGTGAGGTACGGGCCGTTTTGGGGAAACCGGGCGCGTGAATTGCTTGAGCTCATTGAGATTTTAATATTTGGGGCGCCTCGCCTATCCTTCGAGGAATATGAGCCAATAATCATTAGGGAAATTGAGATGGGGGAGAACTACCTTGCGGGAGTGGCGAGCTTGTTCGAAGAGCCAGACGAAGAGGAGGGCCTGAGGAGCCGGTGTGAGCAAAATGCCGGGGAAGGCAGCAGGGATAAGGTCTTTCAAAAGGAACGGCGGAGATAAGGCTAATGAGCCGGCAAAAAAGCAGCGGCCAGAGTCCTTTCTCGACCAGGGGTGTGGTAGGAAGGATGAGGATGGACGCGGCAGCCAAAAGGGCGAAGAAAATGCCGGGGGCGAACAAAAGGAGGGCCGGCCACAGGGGTGGGAACGCCTACCCACCTTGAGGGCGCCGTCCTCGAAACAGGGGAGAGGCAGACCGAGAACACCAGCCATGGCCATTAGAGTCGGTATGAAGGAATAAGTGGACTTTCATGATAAGTAAGGAAACCATGAAAATGATGTGGTAAGAAGAAAAGGGGGAGATTGTGGGCGAGAAAGAATGTGGGGGTTAAGAAAACCCTGAAGGTTGAGACCTACGTGTCGTGTCGGAATTTTTTTTTTCCATATACAGGGCTAGAGAGAGGAAGAAATGGCAACGGGCGAGGGTGCCGGAAGTTAGCAGGACGACGAGAACCGGGGTGTAGACGAAGATGCAGAGCGGGAAGAGGACGCCTTAGGGGACCGGGAGTCAGCAAAGTCGCCAGGGGCTAGAGAAGGGAGTAAGGAAATCGTCCCCGGTGGAAGCTCGGGGAAGGGCGGAGGAAGCAAGCGAGGAACCCAGGAAACTAAGGAGGTTAGAGACAAAGGCAGCCCAACACGCCAGCACCTGGAAGGCGTGGAACATAAGAAGGTAAGACTTACAGATACGCGGAAGAGGCTGGCAGAAATAGAAAGGAGGCCGGCAAAATTTAGGGCAAAATTACTAGAAGAAATAATGAACGAGAGCGAGAGGAACTCGACTGACGGAAGGATACGAGAGGAAGAGGAGGCAAGTCAAGGAACAGGGGGTCAGGACGCGGACATACAGCAGAGGAAGAATCGGGTCAAGGATCCCAGGGGGACCCCAACGAGGAAAGAGAAGGAAAAAGGGGACTCTCCCGGAAGGGACGTAGAAAGACCTACCAACCCGCCTCTCTTGGATAGTGGCGCGAGCCGACCTTCGGCGTCCCCGACAATCGCTAGGGGGTGTGAGGGACTCTGGAGTCTGAGGGAGAGAGTGCTGGGGTGGTTTGATCCGGAGGGGACTGCGAGGACGAGAGGAAGACCAAACACAAGCAAGGAAGATTTGGGGGCCGGATCGGCGGCAGGGTCAGGAATGGTCGAAGGAGGGCTTAGGAAACTCGTGTCATCTCTTACTCGTGCGTTAAGCAAAAATCAGGGATACTTGGCCGACGCTAAGAAGAAACTGACCTTTGACGGAGCAAATATCACTAAGTTCCTGATAGATTATGAGAACCTAGCGGCACTCCTAAGGTGGAGCGAGGAAGAGAAGATGGAGCACTTAGGGCAGCACGTGTCGTTGAACCTAGGGAGGGACATAATGGCGATCGTCGCCACGAGTGGGTCGTGGAAGGAGGCTTGGGACGTGATGATGAGAAAGTACTTGGCAGCCGAGAAGATGGCCACGGAAGCAGAATTGGCCGTTGTGCAAAGAAAGGACTTCGCAATGTACAATGACTTCCTGAGAGAATTTACTCTCGTAGCGCTGCGCATTCCCGGGGTGACCGATCGAATAATGAGTAAGTATTTCCTAAGACAGTTCACAGAGTTCGATAAGGACAAAATCCTGTCAGCCTACTAGCAAACCACAAAATTCCTGAATACGAGGAATGTTGACTTCAGTACAATAACCGACATTGCGGAGAAAATGGTCGTAACCGACTCGCTAGCCCTGTTAAAGAAAGGGAAAATCATAGACCTAACGGGCAAGACGGGTGATAAGGTAAAGAGAGGGATCGAAAGTCTGCATGAGCGCGTTCATGGGGCAGACGGGAAGATTGAGAGAGTAGAGAACGCCCTGATGGTAATGCAAGCCCAGGTTTCGCAGAGCCAGGCAGTACGGCCTCCTCTCCCGCCTCAGGAAGCGATCGCGCCCGCGGGTATAGCCAACCGTGGAAACAACCGAAGGGACCCGACCAACGAGCAATGCAAATACTGCACGCTGATCGGACACTTCGTACGAATGTGCCCGAGACTCAACCATGATATCATGCTTAAGCGGTGCTCTAGGACCCTGCGCGGAGAAATTTTAGGACCCCGGGGGGAGAGAATAAATTGGAATTCGCCAGGAGGAATGCGTCGGGCCGTGATCGCATTCAACAACCTAGACGCCGCTGTAGTAGAAGTTGAGCCTGTGGCGGAACTCACTTGGGGGTAGGCGCAGGGACGAGGGCCCCAGGCCAATTTCATCATGGAAAGCGATGGACGGGATAGGGTTAAAGTGACCACTAGGCAACGGACCGCCGCAAAAAAGGTCGTGCAAGATGCGATCATGGAGGATGCGTACGAAGGACTGAGTATGTCACCAAGAGTAACAGAGTCGGATCAGGACAGAGTCTATGGGACACCTAGGGATGAGACCCCCGTCGACAAGGCAATAACGGCGAAAAAGAAGTTTCGATACCTATCCTTGCCACGCCATAAATCGATGACAACCTTAGTAAACTGCTAGGGACCATGGTGTCGGTATCTTTCCAGACGATGTTGCAGGCTAGCCGTAGACTTCTGAAGGGACTCAGGCACCTATTAACAAGGCAAAGGGTCGAAGTACAGGAGGAATCGGGGCACCGGGAAGAAGAAAGGCAAGAAGAAACAACATAGGAAGTTGCAAACTTCCAAAGGGCCCCCGGCACAGGAAGTTGCAAACTTCCAAAGGGCCCCCGACGACCTAGAGGACTTGGAGAAAGCTTTTGCGGATATTCGGTTGAGCCTGCCAGATCGGGAGGGAGGCGAAGTCATGAGGGCCCCTTCCGGTACGAAGTTAAGCTTTTACGCATTACCGGTAGGCAAGCTACGGGTTCAGATCGGTTGCCACCATACGGATGCGCTAGTAGACGGCGGGGCTGAGATCACGCTCATACGAAAAGATTTTGCGACGATTGTCGGGTGCCCAATAAACAGGGAAACCACTGGAAGTGTCCGAGGAGCCGGCGAGGAAATTCCCTTCTCCGGATATGTCACCAAATGCGCAGTCAAAGCTGGGGTCGGGGAGTCTATATGGTCGTTCCAACGGATGACCGTTATGGACGAAATGGACCGTGACATAATCCTCGGAAGACCGTGGTGTGCAAATGTAGAAGTGATAGGGATGCATCTCCATGATGGCGCATACATGGTAGACATAGAGGACCCGGTAACCGGACGCGGCGAGTTGCTCCGCCTCATTGGAACTGGGGGAGACACGACAAAGGGAAAATTGGCAACTTGGTCGCCCTCCTTCGAGGGGAGTGCTAGGAAGGGGGCCTTCGCGCGCATGGAAGGAATGAGGGAGAGGGTGGAGATAATGATAGAGGAACCGTTCAGCAAGAAGGAAGGGGTCAAGATGGGGCTTCCGCAAAAGAAACGGAGGTGGGATGAAGAGGCCTTGGGAGTCATGGTAGTGGAAAAGGGAACAGAAGTGGAACTGGGAGCGAGCCTGCCAAAGCGCGAAGAGGCTCGAGGCGAAGGCACCAGGATAACGCTAGAGATTCCGGATCTACTCCACCTAATCAAGGCGATCAGGTATCACAAGGTAGGAGTTGACCCCGCCTCTCTCGCGAGGTTTGAGGAGGAAGTTCGGAAGGGCTATTGCCTGAAGAGTGAGTTAGTTAGCATTCAACCTCGAATTGCTGAAGTAGCAAAAGCAACCCCGACGGTTCATTTTTTAGAAGAAAGATCCTGGAAGGAAGCGTTCACAAATATAAACCAGTAGGAAAAAAGGCGAAGTCAGTCTTGATCTTATTAGAAATGACTAAGGAGGAGGCCATGGAGAAGGAGGAAGAAGTCCTTCGGGTAATCAAGGAAAGGAGGGCAGCCGAGGGGCATAGGATACCGGACGAAATAGCACAGACCATGAAGATAGGTGTGGAAGGGTTCCTGACGGAACAAGAGACACGGGTAATCAAGGAGGCATGCCAGGAGTTCCACTTAGCCTTCGCCTTTAATGACCACCAGAAGGGGCGGCTAGATGCAAAGTTGATTCCGCCAGTCAGAATCCACACGGTTGAGCATGAGTGTTGGAATGACAAGGGGCCCGCCTATGACTTCGGAATCGCGGGGGAGGTAACAGAGCTTCTAAGGGCAAAGATGGACTCTTTTGTGGCGGAGCCTACCGCATCGCCATACGCCAACAAGTGGTTCGTATTTCGAAAACCCAACAAGTCCCTAAGGTGGATCCAGGATTTGCAGAAGCTAAATGCTGTCACCATCCGGGACGCGAGGTCGCTACCCCAGGCAGACCTCCTGGCTGAATCCCATGCCGGACGTAGCATTTACTCGTTGATAGATCTGTACTCGAGGTATGATCAGCTTCCGCTGGATGCCCGAGATAGACCCTACACGACTATGCATACGTCGGTAGGCCAGTTGCAAATGCAGGTCACGCCCATGGGTTTTACCAACGCAGTAATAGAAGCGCAAAGGAGGATGCTTGCGGTCGCAGGGGACATGTTTCCTGCGAAGTGCGAGCCCTATACCGATGACAATCCCGTAAAAGGAGCACGTAAAAAGGATGAGACGGAGGTTCAGCCGGGAGTGAGAAAGTTCATGTGGGACCACCTACAGGATATCAAGGAGCTGCTCCAAAGATTCATGGAGTATAATATCATTGGTAGCGGTCCAAAGAGTATCCTGGCGGTCCCGGAAGTCACCATTTTGGGGTTCCGTTGTGGGGCTTACGGAAGGAAGCCGGACCCGGCTAAGACTGGCAAAATTGCTCAGTGGCCTTTGCCCCTCCGAACCACAACGGAAGTGAGGGCCTTCCTGGGCGTCGTAGACTTCTAGAGAATCTTTATAAATAGGTTCGCAAAGATAGCAGAACCTATTCAGGCCATGATTCGCGAGGAAGGCACGCTGGACTGGACCGAGGACCGGGAGGCGGTCTTCCAGACCTTGAAGAAGATACTGACATCCGAAGAGGTTACCCTTGCCGCCCCGTGCTCCAATGATGAAGTAGGACGCCCCTTCATGCTTGAAACCGATGGGGGACCACTAGTCGTGGGAGGGGTGTTGATTCAGAAAGGCGAAGATGGGAGAGAGCGTCCCATTAGATTCGAGAGTAGAACGCTCAACTCAGCCGAGCGTCGCTATTCTCAGTTCAAGAAGGAGGTGCTTGTGATACTCCACTGCCTTAAGACCTTCCAGGCGTATCTCTTTGGGAGAAGGTTCATCTTAAGGATAGATCCGACCAATGTCGCGGGAGCCTTAAAGAACTATAGGCCTATCAATCCCACCGTGGGGAGATGGGTAGGGTTCATTTGGCAATTTGACTACGAGATTGAGCGCATAGCCGGTCTTAGGAATCGAGCAGACGGCCTGAGCAGGGCGAGCCTTACGCCGGAGGGACTAGAAGAAGCAGAGCCGATCGATGCATTCCTCGATCACGAGGGAGGGACTCTGGTGGTGGATAATGAGATGGCTGGGACCGCCTGCACGACCGGAGAACTGTTGATCAAAGCGTTAGAGAAAGGGCCTTCTGCGGTGATAGCCGAACTCAGAGAAGGGGTGGTCACCAAGGTTGGACGAAAGGAAGAAAAGAACGCTTGGGGAAGTACTGTGGGGCCTCAGGAGGAACAAATGGCCTTAGCTATAGAAGGCGGATGGAAAGAGGTCATGAGCGTGATGGAGTCGTGGGACCAAGAAAGGCAACGGTACGAAGTTAGCCAAAGGTGCGAGAAGCCAGCAGGTTCCCGGGAGGAGGAGGAGTTCTTCCTCATCAAGTCGTACGATGGTATTTTTAGGGAGATTGGGCTGCTGTTGGTAGGAAACAAGGATGGCCACTAAGTCTGTCCTAAAGTTAGGGAAGAGGCAGACAAGTATGTGCTAAGGAGAGGGCACTTGTTCCGGAGAGAGGAGGGCTTGACACCCAGGAGAGTAGTATGCTGGAGGACGAGACAGGTAGACATAATACAGGCAATGCATGATGGGTTGGCCGGCGGGCATCGGTCCTCAAAGGGTACCCTGGCCAAAATAACACCACTCTATTACTGGTCGGGGATGTGCTCCATGGTTGCCATATACTGTCAGACCTGCCGAATCTGCCAGGAGCGTAGTACGGCGCGGGTGTTTGAGCCACTCAGGCCCACGCGAGTGTTGGGGCCAGGGCATATGGTGCACCTCGATCTGGCAGTTATGCCAGTATCGACGAAGGGGTACAGGTACATACTCGATGCTAGGGACAACCATAGCGGGTTTGTGGAGGCCGTGGCATTAGAAGAAAACAGGGTTGGCAGTGGCCGATTGGGTTGAAGATTTCTACCTGAGGCACTTGTTCATCAGGAGGTTTATAGCCGACAATGGGACTGAGTTCGTAAATCAAGACGTCTTGAACACCTGCAAGAGGCTAGGGGTGCCCCTCAAGCTGATTGAACCATACCACCCGGAGGCTAACGCGCCGGTAGAAAGAGGGCACCAGACGCTGAAGAACACAATTGCGAAGCTCGCAGCAGACGACCTCGGGAATTGGCCCAAGTACCTCCGGCAAGTTGTGTTCGCTGAGAACGTGACTCCTAAGAGGACCACAGGATGTGTCCCGACAGAATTATGGTATGGAAGGGAAATCGACTTTCCAATAGAAACCCTAGTACCCACATGGAACAAACTCGAGGAGGACCATCACCTGACTACGGAACAGTTGATGGAGGCTAGATGCGAGCAGGCGGCTAAAAATGAGGAACCCTTGGAAGAAATTGTGAACAGGGTCTTCGATAGTCGAATGAAGGATAAGACCAGGTGGGACCAACTGAAAAATACCAGGAAGGAGCCATTGCAAGTGGGGGAAATGGTTCACGTCAGGAATTCGACACTAGAAAGCACATGGTCAGGACAGCTAGGGCGAAGATTCAAGGGGCCCTATCGTGTCACTAAGAGGCTGGGAATGAACACCTTTGAGGTTGAGGACTTGGATGGGACCAGCATAAAAGGGTCGTTCCCTGCGCAGCGGCTGGTCAGATTCCTCAACAGGGATCCGGTGGAGCAATGGCTGCAAGAAGCTCAGGACAAGGAAGCAGAAGAATGGGCCGCGCAGTACGGCAACAAGGATTCTACTTATCACATGCGTTTTCTCTTTGCCTTTGTTGTCTTCTTTCCTTTCGTGTGTGTGTGCATGGGAAGGACATGGGATCCAGTTGGGACACCGTACCATAGTTTTTGTGGGGACATTGGGGATGGATGCCAAGGGTTGGGCATTGAATCATAAGGGTGGGGACGAGGGGATCTCTGAGGGCAAGATGCCGTGACTACCCAATGGGATAAACGGGGCTTGGGGGCGCATGTGACCAAGACTTGGGATGGGACCATTTGTTTGGGGAACCGGGTGGCCATAAGGATGAGACAAGACTGGACTTGGGGCGGACTCCACAATGGGGGTGCATTGGGGCCTTTCCTTTTCCTTTGTTGGCATTGGTTACAGGCACAGAAGACAACCCAAGCAAAATGGAGTTCAATAACGAGAATGACATTAACCGGGCAAACACCGTTTGTGAGGATCGGTGGAGACAGCCAGACAGACCGCGAGATAGACAAAGACCGGTGCTGGTTATTGGGCCACAGCCAAGAGCACCACTAGGGAAAAGGAAGAGGAAGTTGTTTGCCTGTAAACCCTCGCCTACCAAGGGAGGCGAGGTACTACCTGCCTGGTCAGAAGAGGAGGACGAATAGAGAATGGAGGGGAAGAGGGAAGAAACTAAGCAAACCGATCATGACGAGGAAAGGCAGGAAGGAGGGGACAGTGATCCGGAGGATGACGTTCAGGAAGTCATTGCAATAAGCAGTGAGGACGAGACGGATTAAATATCAAGGCCAAGGGAGGAAGGGCAGTCTCCGGCAAAAAGCCCGGATGAAGGAGCCACCAATTGGGAGGAAGAATTTGGGCCAACACCCAGTCACTGGTTTGAGCAACGGGCGAGTGTGGTTAAGCACGAGTGGATTATTAAAGCACGAAAGTTGATGGCGGCCGGAAGAACACCTACATCGTTTGACTTTTGCACTGAAAAGGATCTGCAGTTGGCAAAGGAAAAGAGAGATGAGATTCAGACTTATGGGTTGGGCATGGAGCCACCCTCAAAGGATAGCAGCGAGAAAGGGGCCAAACGTCAAAGGACAAATTCAAATGCTAGGGATTAAGGATGGGTTGGCAAGGGAACACGATGGCAAGAGCAAAGGGCGGCCAGAATTGGGATAGTCAGTTGGACATGAGATTTGTAGATTATATGAACTGGACTTTCTTTCTTTTTACTGTGATTCTACTAAGGAACTTTTGAAAGGAACCGATTGGGACAAGTATGCCAAGCCGTGGTATGTAGAGACATCTGTTAGACTGGAACTTGTCAACTGGCACGGGGTGGGATGAGATAAGAGGGAAAGAGCAATTTTTTGTATAAAGCTACTTTTCGATTTCAATTTTGTAAGGCTGGACGGGAAATCGATTAAGACATGAGCACCGAGTGTGGTTCCTTTAAGTAAAGCTATTTTTGTTCTCAGGAGCCATGAGACTGGTTGTAATGGATGGACATGGGACTTGAAATGGGATCGGTTGCAAAAGCTCTCAAAAGTGTATGTTCACATGTGTGAGGATCAGGTTGTACATTGTCAGAAAGGTTAGGGAACCTATGGGTAGAACGGCATGACACTGCTTTCCCCTAGGAGCCTGATCCAACCGAGTCAATGCCATGTTGCAAGACATGAAAGTGAAACAAGCAAAGTATATGAGACACTTGGTCTATGGTTGAACGGCCGGGCGGGCTAGCGTTGCGAAAAGCTGGATGTTCCCGCCTGCACGCTAGACGAAGTCGGTTGCATGTGAACGGAAAGGATAAGCAAAAAGTGTTTGATAAGAAAAACCTGAAGAGAGAGCACGCTGGAAACCAATGGCCACCACCTAACCCCCCCAATTGATAATCGGATCCGAGCCTCCCAAAGCCCACCCCCTCCAGCATCAGGACTGGAATTGGAAAAGGAATGGCCCTAACGAAGCTATTCAAAGATCAGTTTTGGAAAAGGAATGGCCCTAACCAGGCTATTTAAGGATGAGATTTGGAAAAGGAATGATCCTAACCAGGCTGTTCAAGGATGAGATTGGAAAAGAAGAACGACCCTAACTAGGTTGTTCGGAGATGACCCCTAACAAGGGTTGCCTCTTTGGAAATGGGCATTGGGGTCCCTTTGCATGACTGTCTGTGGATTGACTGCCTTATGAATGAGTAAGAAAAGGGCCGTCGGGTCGGCCATTGAAATGGACATATTGAGAAAGGGCCGTCGCGTCGGCCATTGAAATGGACATGTGAGAAAGGGCCGTCGGGTCGGCCAGTGAAATGGGCACATTGAGAAAGGGCCGTCGGGCCGGCCATTGAAATTGACATATTGAGAAGAAGGTTGTCGGGTCGACCATTTAGAAAAGGAAGTTGGGAAAGAGACCGTCGGGACGGTCATTGAAGCGGAGGACTTGAGAAAGAGGCCGTCGGCTCGGCCATCGAAATAAAGAGATTGAGAAAAGGAAGTTGGGAAATAGACCGTCGGGGCGGTCATTGAAACAAGATGAGTTGAGAAGGAAGGCTGTCGGGCCAGCCATGAGAGAAGGGAAAGCGGCAGATGGATCAGCCATGGGAAGAGAAGGCCGCCTTTGATTGAAAAGAGGCTGGCGGATCAGCCATGAGAATCAGCCTTGAGAATCAGCCATGTGAAAGACTTGGAAAGAGTTTGGAATTGGATGTTTGCTTGAGAATTGGAAATTGCATTGCATACATAAGGGACCCTAGGCAAAAGATGAAAGGTCGTCGGGCCGACAATGGAAATAGCAAGAGCTTGAGCCTCCCAACTTTTTTCTAGTCTCAGGGCCCGATATGAGGGGGAAAGCAGTGATCGCACCGCTACCGTACGACCGCTTTCCTTTAAGGAAATGTCCAAGCGTGACCTATTCCTCATTAGCAGGATAACAGGTTAAAGGATCAAGGTATCAATCTGATACTGTACATCCGTAACCAGCTCCGGCAATGAGCTCTAGCCGGAGGGTTCGAATTGCGCCTCGTGACGAGTTCCCAAAAGTCCAGGGCGCCAAGATGGGCCGAACAGTTGCTCCTCAACCACACGCCACGCTGTTGAGGGGCAGCCTCGCCGTTTGGGAAAGGACCTAGGCCACGCGCACTAAGTTGAGGGGCACGTCTACAGGGAAGGTCCGGCGAGGTACCGGGTGGAGCCGCAACCACCACGGGGCATTGACAGCGCCCCGCCGGAGCATTACAATCGTTCCGGGACTAACCGCGAGGTCTTCGTAACTGCACTCGCAAACTAAAAGAGAGCCCCAACTCTGTTGAAATGGGAGAGGCCGGATCCACAAAAATTCACCACTTGGGAGGGACCAGTCGCGAGGGGGCCACTTTTGGGCACGATGGGATCCTGGGAGGTAGGGACTAGACCTGCCTTACGGATGCGAGGAGGCACCTCAATGCTGATGCCCATCTCCAAGCTAGTGGCCGTCGGACTAGGGTAAGGGGTGAGGTGAGTTATCAGCAGGGGAAGGACTGAGCACCCTTCCTTTTAGGGGCTGATGGGCCGCACCCGCTTACTAAGTTGGCAGGCAAGGTCTGTGTGCCTCCAAGTGAGAACCAGAGACGCGATGGGGACATCGCGATTGAGTGGGGGGAAGGTGTGCCATCTACCTAAAGACAAAGCGTGTAAATGGAATGAAAACCGAGGATAAGTAGGCAAGAAAACATCTTGAAATGGGTGAGCGGGGCCAAACGAGAGCGTGGCAAGATAATTGTGGAAATGGTTTTGGAAATGGTTTGGCTTTGGAAATGGTTGAGCTGGGCCAAACGAGAGCCTGGCAAGATAACTGTGGAAATGGTTTTGGAAATGGTTTGGCTTTGGAAATGGTTGAGCTGGGCCAAAGGAGAGCCTGGCAAGATGATTATGGAAATTGCTTGGGAAATGGTTGAGCTGGGTCACAATAGGGCCTGGCGGGATGATTATGGAAATTGCCTTGGAAATGGTCGAGCTGGGCCACAAAAGAGTCTAGCAAAATGATTGGGGAAAAACGCTTTGGAAATGGTTAAGCTGGACCTGAGAAAAGCTAACGAGTGGCCAGTGAAAGATGTGCGTGATGCCCATAAGAAACATGCATGAAAAAGTCGAAATGAGAATATGACAAGGAACATACGTAAAGGAAAACAACACCTGCCTCGTAAGACACAAAAGGTCCAACAGAACGACCTCACATGGAAAAAGGGGGGGCCAGGAAGTACCGAGGGACGAAGAAACATGGAAATTCCGAACCCGGAAGCGAGCCCCGGGGCAGGAGAGGGGAGTTTTGTGTGTGAGTGGGGGGAAGAAAGGGCCTGGACACATGCAACGAGCAAGCAATAAAGCAATGAGCTGGCGAAAATGGGGGGAGAGAAATGAATCAACAAGAAAGGGGTGGCGAGCGACCAAGCATTGGGGAAGAGTAGAAAAGGGCCTTAGGAACTTCGGGTAATGATAAGAAAAGGAAGGGTCTGATGTACTTCGGGTAATGAATGAGAAAAGGAAGGGCCTGATGTACTTCGGGTAATGAATCAGAGAAGAAAGAGTCTGATGTACTTCGCATAATGAATGAGAAGAGAGAAGCCTGAAGGAGGCCTTTGACCTGCCACGCCCTCCTCCACCCCAAGGGGCGGAAACTAAAGGAAACCCCGAGAAAGGAACAGGAAAAGACAAAAAGGACCCTGACAAGCTAACTGCCTGTCTCTCCCTACCCCCTCCTTTCCCCCCCCCCCCCCCCC